GTCGTTACATTTGAATGACAAATTATTATTTTAAAAGATTTTGTTTTTGATAAAGAAAATATAATTAATCATACTAGTCAAATAAAAAAGACATAGTTGACAAATTCGAATAGTCTAGAATATTCTTTTTTGATATTATTACTTAATTTTTTTTTCTGAAAAAGTATACTTAACAAATAAACAACGAGATGACACATACTCGGTTGAATTAAAATGTGTTAACAAGCAACCACGTAGGTGTTTTTCATTTTAACACCGAGCATAAATAAGTTTCCCTAATGTGTCATTTAAAAAAAGTCATACTTTGCAATTCTATATGAAGATTTTTTTTTTCGAATTACTTAGAAAAAAAAACAGATCATTTTCTCACTATTCAGACGAATTATTCGGGTATTATCAATAACAAGATATAAGATTTTTTGATATTGTTCGATCGATATAAACCATCGAACTAAAACATCAGCGAAGACATATTCGTTTCTCAGCATAAACTCCGGATATAATCAATAAAAATTAGACATTAATGACTATTATTAATTAACAACAATAAAATTCATGTGAACATCAATAAAAAAATAAAATGTGATAGAGCATTGAGTTCACAGTAAAACAAAACGGAAATAGAACAATTTAATAAATAAAAAAATTTCACTATAACAGTGGCATGTTCAGGTGGAGGTATGGGCGACGACGCCTATTCCTTTGAAACTTGTATGTTATACCTTAAATATCTTTGTATTTCTATGAGACTTACAGAAACAAAAGTAGTGTACATTTCCCACTATTTTTTATCTTATAGTGCTTATATTCTGCAATGAACAATTCCGGAGAAGAAAATCAAATCATATAAAGGGTGTTCCATAAGTTCTGGGTCTCGACGAAAATTAGTTTCTATATAAATAAAGAGTGACCAATACCTAACTATATTTATATGAGCTTCGAGCCTTGAAGACGCTCTTTAGAATGGCATATTATGAGATGACATTTCGTCAGCTCATAATGGTGATATAAGCATGAGAATGTTGATGATCAAAATATTCGAATCGACCAGTGTGTTTTCAATGATCGAAAATAAGATATAGTTGATTTGCTAGAAGTTCGTATTAATGTGAAATCAAAGAAATGTCTTATTGAATTGAAAAAATATCAATAATAAATAATAAAATGTTCAAATCAAAATAAATCGAAAAAATAACAACGATAAACAATTAAATGGTCAGATCAACATGTGATTATTTGGAAGTATTCTTGATATACTCGACAAAAATGCACGAAATGAACTGTTCAAACTGAACAGAAAGTGTAAATAAAGTATGCTTAGAGAAAACAATATTCCGAATAGAGAACGGAATACTTTCTTTCGTTCTGTTGTCAAATGTTCATGATTCGCTCAGCTGGGGTATAAGTTAGGTGAAAACACGTGTAGTGCTTCATAATATCGATCAGAAAAGCGGCCGCAATACTTCGTATTACTTTCTATGATTCTTTCTCTACACATACAATCAGTTTGTAGTCCATTAAAATGTCTCGAAAACACACTGGTCGATTCGAAGGTTTTGATCATCACCATTCTCATGCTCATATTACCATTATGAGCTGACGAAATGTCATCTCATAATATGCCATTCTAAATAGTGTTTTCAAGGCCCGAAGCTCATATAAATATAGTTAAGTATTGGTCACTCTTTGTTTATATAGGCAATAATTTTTATCAAGGGCCCAGAACTTATGGAACACCCTTTATGGCTTACATAGAGATACAGTAAAAAGATCTACGTACTTCATGTTTCAGATCATGTTTGATTCAACGGTGCCTTGTTCTTGTATATCAAAGTTTTTTTTTTCAAATCTATTCAACATTAATTACCAGTAATAATAGTTACAGATGAGCGAAGCAGCTTTTTTCGCCACTAAAGCTTATGCAATCATATCGTCAAAATGCTATATGCATGAAAATTGTTTGAATAGATTAGCTATGATGCATGCATGTTCAATCATTCACATTGATATTGAACAAGTCATCGGGAATTTCTCAAAAAAATGAAAAACAATACAAAATTCTAGTATATTGTATGATTTGTTTCTTTAGTTGTTTTTTGTTTTCATAGATGGCAGCATATGTATTTGATCAGTTGATAATAGAAAATATTAGAAAAATCATCAATAACTTATTCTCATCCATCACTCCTGACAATATTTTCTGGTCCTGAGCCTGCACTATACCTATGAATACAGAAAATGTACTAATCATATATTTTAATAAAGAACAATAGAAAAACAAATAAATGATTTCTAATAATTGATTGTTTTGAAGTATGTACTTCTTAAAGCGATCGTATTCTTGAAATTTTTGTCGCAATGAATGTTTCAAACATACAAAATCATGTAAACTGAAGAGTATGAACAATCTCATATGTTTTATTTCAAGAATATTCTTAAACTTGAGTACTCCTTTCTCGTCTTCATCATTTTTGAAAACAAGCAAGAATGCACAAGTACATGTATGTTCTTTAAAAGTTTTATTTAAGATTAAAATTCGTTCTTATTACTAAAAAAAACTAAAATAAAATGATGATTATCATCGTTTTTATTCATTGATCACACTTTGTTTATTTTCATTATATATTATTCAGGTAAAAGGTGCATCGTCACCTGAATTAGCTAGTAGATCATGTGATTAACCCCATTTGTTTTTTATTATTATTATTTGATTTTAGATGCGATACAATTTTCTTTTAAAACACTGTAATGTCATTAAAATGTACAGACAACACGTAATTTAAGATGAGATTTTGTCTACGTGTTCTTTTGTTTATGATAAAAATAGAAATGCTGAACTTGTTAAAAATTATTATGAAATATAGGATTATTAAAATAAGTATTTTCTTTCATAATAATCTCAAAGTATTAATTATCTTTTGAGTATAAAATAATAGATCAGTTTTGAAGTTTTATTATTAATCCAGAAAGACACTATTTTTATTGAATTTTGAAAGAAGAAGTTTCACATTAATTCAAGTAATAACAATAATCGATGAGCACTGAATTTTATTCAATCATTTATTAACATCATAAAGTGAATTTTAATATAACAAGACAGTATATATTTAACGATTGAATATTAAAAAAAACCTGACTATTTATTTATAAATCAATCTTTCTTGTATCACCTTTTGATTGAGTATGCGTTATTTCTTCATTTGATGGTGTATATACTTCTCGAAGACAAGATGAATCTCGATTTTTTAATACTCGATCTTCACAAAGATATTTTTCAAGCAGAATTTCATTTCGTATTTTTTTATTAAAATACCATTGTTCAATATTTTCTTCTTGTTCTTCAACCATTTCTTCACACTTAAATAAAATAGAAAGTAAAAAGGATAATTAAATACAAAAAATATTATATATATATGATATGACAAACATATTTTTTTAATTGAGTTATTTCAGCTGATGGTGCATCCCACATTGTATCAGGAACATCAAGAACAACTTTAACACCTTTATTTCTAAAAAAAAAAGAAAGAAAATTATTAATTTTAATAAGAAAAATTAAAAATATAAAAAATCAAATTTACCGTAAATTCCATAGAGTTTCCATTGTTTGTGATCGACCACGAGCATAACGTAATGAACCAGAACGTTCAGCATGAACATTATATTGAAGGAATCGCTCACAAACATTTTCAAGTGTTTCAATTAAACGTGTTTCTCTACAAATCGAAACATAAAACAGATTAAATAGAAAAATTAAATAGGATACATACGAATCACTATATTTCGTTTTTTTCGGTTGTTTAGCATCAAGTGAGTAACTAGTTTCAATAACACTTGGACTATTATGCTCTTGAAAGTTTTCAGTTAATTCTTGAGCAAGTAGTTTACATACTAAATAATAAACAAAATGATATATGATGTATTATATAGACATGATCAAATTCATTTCAGTAAATTGGTTGTCGACTTTTCGCAAACCGGATCCGACCATTTTATATCCGCACCCAAATAGGATTTGGATAGCTGTACTGGATACCCGACTGAAATTCATCGACATTCGGCAGATACTTTTATAGTCACAGTTCGATTTTCAAATTTTTATTTTAGGTAAAAAAAGTATACTACTTAGTGTCTGTCGTAAACAGCAAAAGAGAAAAGAAATCATCTCAAACTCTTTAAAAAAAAGGTAAGTGCTTCAGAATTCTCACTTGGTGTCTTTCTGCTTCTAAAATCCGATCAGTTTTGCTAAAGATACGTTTGCTTGTTGCTGATGACGCTCGAATGGAACGCATTATTCGTACCAAACATCATAATTATGGATTCATATAAGGAATACTTTTTCTATCATGATAATATATGTTCATCTTTTTGATAATTCATTTTTCTCTTCATTTATTCAGTTATTTTGTCATATGATTCATCACCATCTGTACATGAGTTTTTATTAAAAATGAATTCTTTCAGTAAAACAATATCGCTAATGTGTTTTCAAGTACGATAAGCTGCTGAAACATGATCGAATTGGTTTTATCCTCCTATATTTTCATATAAATTAGCGGTTTGAAAAAGTAAAAATATTTTGAAACGTGGAGATCTCATCAATTACCAGGTCGAGTCTGAATATAACATCATAATCTGGACTCGAATCGACTCTGTGAGTTTGCACGCGCATTCTATGCTCCGGATCGACTACTCAACCTGATTGCAGGATACTACTATTCATTATACAGATCGGTTTTTAAATCTATGATTAAATCGATATTTTTAAAATACCTTCACATTTAGTTGGTAATCGATTGGGATCGTCCGCAAAATTTATTGAAAATAGACATAAATTAACAAATACAAAATACACAAGCATTTATTTTATCTAAAATCAAAGCAAAAAAAGAAAACTTCATTTGATTCATAATAAAAATAAATATAGATTTGAAAAAGAAGTGAAATCAATTGAGAATAATGTTAAAAAGAAAATCAACAATTAATTTTTTGTTTTATTGTTAATTTAATTTAGAATGTTGAATCGGTTTTGTATATTGATATGCCCACCATATAAAAACAAATTGAAACGGAAGACGAGCTAATGTTACATATTTTTGTGGATGATTATTTGCCCAAAAATCTTGTGTCATTTGAATATTAGCTGGATCTTAGAAAATCAAACATATATATATTATAAAAAGAAAACAAGAATTTTCATTAAATGAACTTACAAACAGCAATAAGTAAGGCAATAGTAAGCCAAGCACCTAATCTTTGTGTACGTTTAAAAAACATCATTAAACCACAAATAATCTCGCATACACCTGATAAATAAACAAGTTCAAGATGATATGTCATATAACGTGGCATAATCGAAAGATAAAAATTTGGTGTTAAAAAGTGAAAAATGCCAGCAATGATATATAAAGTAGCCATTAAATACATAAAGAATAAACGAAGAAATGTCGACATATTGATTGTTTTGAAATAATCTAGAAAAATAATGTACACATTTCATAGACTTTTATTTTTCCATATAATCTTCATTGAACTATATCAAAAATCTCAAAGTTATGTAAAGATATAATGTGTGTATTATAAAAACAACTGCATATCGTTGAAGAAACTAAGAGAAGCTACATTTTCAATTGATTAGAAGGATGTACAAAACCAAACATCTAATAGAAAACGTTTTCTCAAGCAACTTTTGTTATTCTCTTTATGGAGATGTATTCTAATCGAAGATATGACGAATTATTTCTTGGATAAGTAAGTGGTTTCAATACCTGAAGAAGAATACAAGTTGTACAATTATCTTTAACGTGCAACATATCTTTACATCTACCTTCAAAGATTATTGAACAAAATATTAGACAGATAGTATCGATAAAAGATACAAAAAAAACTAATTTTCATCTATAGTTAGAACATATCTTTCGTCTTTCTCTAATTTTATATTTCTACTCGATTGTGTCTTTTCAATATTAGTGTAGTCTTATCTCAATTGTTCACAGTTTGACAAAATATTCACTTAACCATATGATATCACAAATGAAAACTAATTATTGACATTTAAGCTTAACTCGAATATTAGGGAGGTCAGAACTTCAGATCAAGCTCAAATTACTCTCATTAATTCTCATAAAAAGCTTTATTTTTATGAATATTTAGTATACTCTATAATGCTTAGCAGTATTTATTTTTATTAAAAAGTACTTATCAGCAGCAAGGGTGAGGTTGTCGGCTTAGTATGGAACGAATGTGGGGACGGATCTTCTCTTCACCTACATACGTCCTCAACCTCCGTCGCTAAGAGCTACGCCATGTGCAAGAAGACAAAAACAAGCAATAATAGATAAAGTAAAAACGAAAGCAAATTGACATAATGTTGTTACTATTCAGACGGGCACTTTTCTTGTTCTTTATGTTTTACTGTTAAACTTGTAACATATCTGTAGTGTTTTGTGTTTTTCCTTTTGATGAAAAACAGAAGATTGCAATAAAAAGACCAAGGAATTGACAACATTTACAAAGAAACATTGATCAGTTAAAAGTGGATCATAGGGACATCAGCTGGTAGTCCTATTGAGCACTTGACTTTTTACATCGGTACTTATTGTATACAAGTAATAATTCTCTCATAAGGTCACAACACTTCTAATAAAATCAAAGCAAACTACTCAGCTTCTTTGTCGTTCTACTAGGCACTATGTTTTATTGAAAATACATACCGCTAAACACTACGGAGTGTACTAAATTTTTACAGGATTTCGGACTCTTAAGGGTGTTAACAAAAGGAATTTGGACCAAGGCTTAAAATCCTGTATGGCCTTTAGCTTGGACAGAAGAGTCATCATAATTTCGGACCGAGGCCTAAATGCATGAAACTCGAATCATATTCTACATCATATTCCAAACGTAATTTCATTCAGAAAGTAACTAGGATCTTAAATTTCTTCGAATTTTAAGCTCTTGTATATCAACTATAGAGCATCTTTAACATTAATATTCTTATCAATAAATCTAATTTAAAATTAGAAGTATTCAATGGAGTACAATTTTACTATTATACATTTAAAACAGTAAACCAACAAGATATTGTGAGATGAGTAAACAATTATTTCTTGCTTTTTAAATGAGAGAATTTTTCGAAATCTTACCTCATTTTTTGAGTATAAACAGAGCATCATGCGACTAAAAGATACGGGAAATAGATCTGTCGAACGGATTTACCCGCATTTTACTAAATAATAGCCTTAGAATACAAGGTTAACTATCAGAGAGGTAATTCAGTACAGAAAGGAGAAGGGTGCCGTATTCTCCTATTTATATCCCCTGTTAACTAAAAAATTAAACTAAAGAACTTCCAGCAAGAAATTTCTCCATGAAGAGATACCAAAACCACTGAAATACTCTTAGAAGTTTCGAACAAAACTAATGCATTCTTTCTGAAATAATTTCTAATACTAAAACTTATCAAAAACAACAACAACAACAACTATGAATTCAATATCTTAACGAGAAACTCAAAGTAGACATTGTTTCCACTCAATATTTGTTGATTTTATTTTGGCAAGTAAACCAATGTGATAATATTAAAAGTGAATAAACCGTAGACACTTCCATCTGTCAACTTCTCTTTGAGTTAGTCTAGTCTCATAATGCTTTTACGCAGACTTAAAAATGAGACGACACACTTCAAGAAATAACTTTCGAAAGCAAAATTAAATGAAACTAATACAAGCAACATTTCCAAAAATATCATTGAATTTTCATATTACCTTATTATTCAAATATGTTTCATCTAAATCAAGAAAAGAACACCACTCATCAATAAACAAGGCGAAAAAAACTTTTTTTTAAGTGAAACATACCAGTCGTTTCTTTTTCTCGAAGATGTCTCTCACATAAATCATTTTCCATTTCATATCCTCGAAGTTTTTCTTGTATGACATAAAAGGTTTCGATTAACTTTCATTTAATACAAGAATATTTGTATCGTTATCTAAATAATATTATTATTGTTTGTTGATTTTTTGGTTTTAATAGATCACATATTAACAACAACAAAAGAGGAAAAGATCACAAAAGATTTATTTGTCACACGCACGCACACGCACGCACACATAGATAACAAACAGTTTCTATACATATATATCCTTTTCTTAAACTTTTTTTTTTATAATGAATATTTGTCAATATCTTGAATTTCAAATTTAATAATTGATTTAAGTAAAAAGTCACTTATTACATATTTAATATTTGATACATTTGTATGAAGATATTTTTCTTTAATTTTGTTTATATTTTTTTCATTGGTATCACATAACACAATTAATATATCGACTGAATTTACATTATCATATAATTTAGCACCGGTTAATTCAATTAATTCAATTAATTCATTACGATTAATTGAACCTTGACATTGACGACATTCAATTGCAAATCCATAAATTAATGCTGGTGATGAATTATTAAATAAATATTTATGATTTGTTTGAAAATTTTGTACTGATAAACGCAATGTTGTATGAGAATCACTTGTTATTTCAAATGGATGTTCATCAACAATTTCATTTAAACGTATACATTCAGTTATCCAACGTGAAGATATTATAAATATATTACGGCGTGCTGCTGCTTGAACAATTTTTTTCGTTATTGTACAATGTAAAGGATTTTCACTATCATCAATAAGTAAATGTGTTGTAAGATTATTAACATTTAAATTTGTTCCTAATTGAATTTGAGGAAATTGACGAAGAAATGTTAGAACAGTAATCTAGAAATAAAATAGAGATCGGTATTTTTTGGTTAGCAAGAATGTTTTTTACCCATTGATGATCGAGAAGAGTTGTCGTAGACATAACAATCTGAATAAGACGAGAATAAATAAAAAATAAACAAATTGAGAATAAAAATATGTATTGTTGTTTTGGTTACTTTGTTAGGGGGAATTAATGAACGAGTAATTATTTTAGATTGTGTAGTTTGGGATTCATGTTTACGTTTTTTTATTGAATGTTCACTTGATGTTGATTGAGATGGAGCATCAGTATTATTATGCTATAAGACAGAAAAAACAGAGCTTTATCAGACATTAAATTGGTATTGTCTGGATGACTATGTAGTGATGAATGGGATCATTCTTTTTTGGTTTGGGTCAGAAAAAGTTTTGATTGCTGGTTTCCTGCTTAGTAATGCATGTACCGACAGAAATGCGATAGAATATTCGAGTAATGTCAATAAGCTCGAAATATTTTGCATGATTTCTAATACTTTCCCTCTTGGATCTTCATTACACTTTTTAATTCATTAATACTGTAGCTAATCTCCATGGTTATAATGTACAGTAATTATGACTTTTACAAGAAAAAAGAATCAATTTTACTAATAGAATTATAATTAGAACCAACAACGATTGGTCTTCGTCCTGGTGGGATCAAAACTATCGTGCCCAAATCTATGTTTATTTTCATTTTATAGTCTATATAATTGTAAAAACGATAGTTTTCTGCATTGGTCGATGCCCGACTTGGCTCGAGTTATGTTACAAAAAACTTTTGAATTTCGTGGTGGATCTGCCGTCTGAACATTTGACAGATACAAAAAGCATTTCGAATGTTTTTTCCATTCAAAAGTTCCATCAGACAGCGTCGAAAAACTTAATAGAAGAAGTTATGTATTGCACGATGTTTTCTTCATTGACATCGGAAAACAATACATAACGCATGTGCTGTCTATTCAACATTGGTATAAAGATCAAGTGTCGTATTCGTGGGAAAAGAAAGAAAAGACTATTATATAATCATATTTTGTCTGTCCTGCAGAATATCTTCAAAATATAAAGGGCAAAAAGAGGTCAAGGACATGTTGTTTATTTCTAACTTCGAAATAAAAGGAAGAAGAAAAGATTGAGATATTGATTTTCTCAATGGAAAAAGAATAGTAGTCGATACCAGAGTTCGACTAGGGTCAGGTATGGAGCCTATCGGGTTCTAAAATTGTTGGACCCGTGCTCGGATTCGATTCGATGGGCTCTAATCGGGTCGCAAAAATTGGATCCATGTCGGCCATTGGTATTTATATTAGGAATCTGCAAAGTGATGTTTTGTTTTAGTTTCGAAATCTATCAACTTTTTTCATAGTCTTTGCACTTCTTTAAATATGAGTAAAAGTTTGATAAATGAGGTTAATTTGATGATAATACGAGCATTCTTTTTTCTGTTTGAATTAAAATCGAAGAATAAATATGAACAGATGACGTGTGAACTTGATTAAAACAATTTGTAAGAGATCACTCTGAAGAATTGTAGATTCTAGTCATGGCGAGATCGAGAGAATCATTCATATCTCGAATGTATACATCTACTGAAATTCAAACTATTTTTTTAGTATCAGTGTGAATTAATTAATTAAGTGTACTTCTCTTATGTTCTAAATATTGCTACAGAGGAAGTGAAATTGACTAATCAGAGATTGAATATTCTTTAGTGATACAATTTAGTGTAGTTTTAATATCATCATCCTGTATGATTAGAGAATGAAAATGAATGCTATGAGTTATCATAGAACTATGCTATTCTTGAATTTCAAGAGAAACATGAGCTATTTTCTTGACGAATTTGTTATGTGATATTTTTTCCAATGTTTCTATGTTGACAATGATCATTGTCTTGCGTATCCGTTGACAAAGTCTGTATAAAATTTTCCTAAATGATTTCTAATTAACTTACATTCACGTCCATCTCCTGAACACTGTTGTCTTCTATAAAATAAAAACGTATCATTTAAATTGTTATTTTTAAGAAAAAAAGTTTTACTGTGATTAGAATTAACAGTATCATTTACAGTAGTTGATTCTTTGTTTTTTTCCGATTCTTTCGCTTCCGCTTCCAGTAAATGTCTACAACTGTTATTATAAATAAGTGATTATAATAAAAAATTAACTACCGTCTACACAAAGCTTGCGATTTTCGAGGTACTTGACTAGTACATGATGGCAACGAACAAATAAAACGGATTTTTCCAGATGCATCTCGAACTGTTCGACTTGTTCTTGTAACTTCTTCTGGCGGCTAATAATCAAAACAAAAAACAAAATAAAATAAGTCAAAACAAAAAAAAACATTCAATTATATTTTACTTTTTCTGGTGATTCATATTCTTCTGAATGATTTCCATTTGTACTATTTTGATTTGTTGATGCTGTAGTTGTAGTTGAAAATGGTGAACGAAAACGATTTTGTGTTTCACTGGACAATGGTGGAGCTGAATTACGTTTATGATTTCCTTTTTTCTTTTTATTTTGATCTTCACTTATATGATTAGATCCGTGTCTAAAAGTAAATTATTGTTATATTATACATATTAAAATTAATAGAAGTAACGAATCAACAAGCTGACGTTTTTTTTGTATCCTACTGAAAACTTCGATTCAAAATAATAGAAAATAATATTCTTTTAAAATGATAATTACGTTCGACAGAAAATATCAGCTTGACGTTTAAGCATATTTGTACATGATTCGTGCATACAGAGATATCGACGACGACCTGAACTGTCACGAAAACTACGTGTACCAGTTGTTTCATCTACATGAATTTCACGATTTGCCTAAATAAAAAAAAAACAAGTTTTTTTTTTTTGTTTTCATGTGAATTAATAAACAAACCTTTACTCTTTGTCTAGATGAAAGTGGTAGTGAAGCATTGAAATCATTACTGACATCATTGTCATCATCTTCCATGGTTGAATCTACACAAACAATATAAAAAAACTTCTTGAATAAATGTCGATATTGAAAAAGTTAGTCACAAATATGCAGATGATATTTTCACATGATACAATTCATTTTAGATCGAAATCTAAAGTCATTAAGTAATTAGGCTACTTTAGTCTCGAGGTCATCAAGTATAGAATATTTTCAGTGAGTGCTAAACAAGCAAAGGATAAAAAGCGAGACTTCAGTATTTAGAAGTAAGATACTTTCTTTGAATTTTGCAGTACTGAAGTCTTGCTTTTCCCCCCTGATAAACAAGTGTAGAGATATCAGCGTTTCTTTTTCTTTGAATTATGCTTTCAAGAAGTATTGCAGAAAAAAATTAGATTTTCTTTAATGTGCTTTTTCGTAACATGACATTGTGTACTGCGGGTTTCTGAGAACGAAAACCTACCATAGATCAAGAAACGAACACTTTAAACTACGTACCTGTAATCAACTTTTTCACAGTATATGCCAGTATTGGTATTCTGTAAATATGCATAGGAATCTCACATGATTAGTGAAATTAGTCTTCTATTCGAAGTAGGAATGCACTAGTTCTAATATTTTTTTTTAAATTAAACTCTGTGAGCAAAAGTACTGGTACTGTAGTTCAGTGCAATATTGGTACTGAGACATTCATACTTCAAAGGTTCATTTTGTATTAATTGTAGGAAACAGATCGAACTATTCGAAACTGTTTCTAGACAGTACTTCTGATTAGTATTCATACTTACACTATTCTCTTTTATTTTTTTAATTAATATAGAAAAGTATAAATTTATATAACATACTTCAACATGAAAACACTACGTACCATGCATTCCATTTCCATTTTGTTGATCAGCATCAATTGAATCCACAGTTGTATTGCGTTGTGCCTTCAAAATATTCCAAATAAACAAACAACGAACTTCAATGTATTCTAACCTCTGTCGATGTTCCTTCATCAACTGTTTCACCATTTTCATTTAAACCGTTGTCATCAACTATTTCACCAGTTTCATTTAAGTCATCCTCATCAACTAAAAAATTAACTGTATAATCATGAAGTCATTAAATTCTATATACCATCATCCGATTGTGTTGACATATCAGGAATATCTTCACTTTCGGAGCCTTTTACTTGTGAATGACTAAAAATGAATATAAATATAAATCGATTTTTTTAAATTTTACTTCTTTTTTTTATTAACTTACGCTCGACAAAAGAAATCAGCTTCACGAGTTAAACGTGAATCACAATCTGGTCTTGAACATACATAATATCGTCGAGCAGATCCCCCTTTCGCAGCTCGAACCAAAAAATATCGCCGACCTGTAGTTTTTGATGTAATTATTGTACGTTTCGTAGATGGCCTCATCTAAAATATAAACGTTCTTCAACCAATATAATGGACTTTTTTTTTCTTTTTCGTTTCGTTTTGCTCACTGCTCCAATACATACATAAAGCCGACAAGCTGTGTCATTTTCCACTCAATTGCGTACATTTTATGAAACTACATTAAAAAAATAAGAAGTTAACTCTAGCAATGAATTGCTCGTCAACAACAGATATACAAAATCGTTCTGTTTTAATCGGAAATTTTGGTGCTTCAATTTTTATGATAATATACATAGGAATTTATGGGATGGGTATAATTGTTTATTTTGCATGTCAATTTATGGCTGATTCTAGAGATAATCATGAAAATGAAATTCCAAATGAATTCTTTCCAACATTTCATCATATTAGTGAACGACAAGAAATATATAGTATGAATAAAAAAAATTAATTTTGAAATACTTAATCTCTATACTATTTCAGACCAATTAACTGATGAAAATCGGGTTAAAGAACTATATAAAATTTATTATTCAGATGAACCAAATAATTCAAAGTTCATTGAAGAAAAAGCAAATCAATGTTCAAAAAAATATCATCTAAAAATTCAAAATCTTAAGTCAAAGCAAACATATTATGTTATAGAAAGTTCAACACCACAGACACTAACTACCATTTCATGTACAAATTAACAAATGAATGAAAAAAAAAGTTATCCTATAGAGAATTCTTAATGAATAATTAACAAAAGTAATTTTAAAATTTTTTTGTTTATCAATTAAATATTAAATACGACAAAAGCAAAAAAAATTAGAAGTAATATTCATAAATTCGAGGAGAATCAAATTTACAAAAGACAAAATCAATCTTACTAAGAACTTTTACTTTTTACAACTAACAGACAGAGTATACACACAGCTGTTAATTACTGTCATTCAGAATACTATTGAAGACACTTTTTTCATTTCTATGCATGACACAATGATAATAAACGAACTGATAGCATACATTTTAACTATGCAATCATCATACGCACAGGTAACGGAAGTGTGATACAACTGTATGTGGTAAGATAGGGTCAAGGAAAAAAGAAATGTGCAGTCGAGCTTGTAGGGCAATTATATCTTACCTACCCTGTGATGCGGGGTAGTGTGAAGGTGAAAATATCCTTACAGTATGATAAAGTTACAAAAAGAGCTTGCTCTACACATATCTAATGTTTGAATAAGAGATTGTTATATTAGTTAAACTTTTTCTTTTTATCAACTGCATAATAGATAATAATGAATTATCATAATGACAGGAATAAACAATAACGAATTGAAATATTCTTTTAAATACATTTATTTGACAATCGACTAGTACAATGATATTCTATCAAATTATTTTCTAAAAATTCTAAAAACATGTTAATTTCATTTCAACAAAAAAATTCTCAACATATTTCTCACTCAATTAATTACAATTGTATAATCCCAACATACAAATGACTTTAAACAAAAAACAAAAGCCAATCAGAATAAATTTCGATATGCTTCTGTTCTTTATGATTAGTTACCAATTATGAATGCATGCTAAACATGCTTTTGTTCTATTGATTTTTTTTTTCTAAAAATAATTGACAGACTAAATATAAAAAAAAAGAAAGCATTTTGTCATGAAATGATACATTCATTTAAATTTATTTTAAATACTTAAAAGTGACATCTATCGATTAATTGAAATAGCAAAAAAACAAATGATTCTTTCACTTTCTATAGATGGCAATAAAATACAATGAATTATACGAAAAAGTATTCATCGAATTCTCGTTTGCACCAGGAAAGATTAGAGAAGCTCCGCTCCTTCTACAAATTGTTGAGCCTCCTTGCAGTGGTGGAGACAGGACCGATCAACCATCCCTCTACGAACCTTTGATCTCCTTGGCAACAAATACATGTGGCAAAATATTTCGTGAGAGAAGCTCGAAGGCTCGTAAGGTTGGTTGAGCTCATCTGGCGAGATTTTTGAAAGGTGTATTTTTTATCTCACGGAGATTCAAGCATCTGTAGGTGGACAAGACTGAGTTCTCTCTAGTCCGAAAAAATGACTCAGTCACTGGTTTAAACTAGTGATGCGACCAGCAGATGGCTTAGCTTATTCTAAAAATAAGATGATCCTGTATTATAGGCGAAGACACTACCCACTTTTCTACTTAAAATGAATACTGAACCCCTAGTGCAACTTTTTTTCTGACTACACTCTTAGTTTCAACATTTCTATTGGCTACACAATCAAAAGCAATGTTAGCTGTGTTTTTTGTTTTTATTTGAAAATTCAGAAACAATATAATAGCACTTTATACAGTAAAAGATGCGAATGGGCAAATGTATTTTCATTTTGTCGTGACAATCATCGAATATAAAAAAGAAAAAAAAAAGAAAAGTGAATAAACTGAAAGAATATTTTAGAACTGAAAATGTGCATTATTTCCATTATTATTATCAGGTACAGCTTGATTTGTATTCATAGTTCCAAATGAAAATTCATTACTAGAATTTGGTAATGTTGATGCTTGATTTATTGATGAAATATCTTCTTCATCCTGCGAACCAAAACAATTGTTCAATTTATTATATTATTTATTGTTTTTTTTTTAACTTACAGTTCCATTTGAAAAGAATTTATCAATTATTTCATATGATTGTTGATATATATCACCATGTGAATGTGTTTGTAAATTTTCGATTTTATCAAGACCTAATTGAAATAATATCGATTAATAAATAAAAAACAATAGATTTTAGTTTTTCTATTAAATACCTCCACATTCTTCAATTTCTGTTGTAACGGTTTCAAGATTTTCTTCTTGGGTTTGTTTAAGTATATTATGAATAGCATCAAGACAAACTTGTAATACTTGAGTATCCTGTTGTTGTAATAAATTACTAAAAATGGTCGATAATTCAAAATACAAAGAAAAAAAGAATTATTTATTCAATGTACCAAAGAGGAGGTATAACATGTTGTGTAACTATATAGTGAATTTGCTCTTTTGAACCACTCATTGTTAAATTTGATATGCACCAAGCAGCTTCTTTTTGTATTTGAATTTCACTCTAATATTTAATATAAATTAGTGTAAAAACAAAAACCGAATTTTTCTATACGAACATATTGCAAATGATGAATAATATTAGGAATTAATTCTGCATCAATTACGGCTTGAACTTGTTGTTGATTACCAGCTGTTATATTTGATAGAAACCAAACAGCTTCCTTAAAATAAAAAATAGAAAATATAACTAAAAAGTATTTTCGATTAAGTTATATTCAATTAAATAGTTAATATCATCTTCAAAAAAATGAAATAAACTTTCGTTTATAAAACATTATTTTTCAGAAATTATTTTTTCAACACTTTATTCAAAATATCGCAACATTATTTCAGCGTCAAATGTGAGTAATAAAGTTCAGAGAGTAAAGATGAAGACCTAGCTGAGGATTTAACTAATTCTTAAGGACTAAAGCTTTTGTTTGGTGCAATCATATGCTCATCGGTATACCGAGCGAAAATGACTATACTTCGATGGTTTGAAAAAAACTGAAACCGGACCTATTAAATCATTAGATAAATACAAATATTGTTAAATCTATCTCTAGAAATCTTCATTTTTTCATTCTTCAGATTATAGACTTCAGTACATGTGTCATATTATTTTGTTTAAGTACTGAAATATGTGACGCCTTTAATCTCAACAATATAATAATGAAAATTTTTCTAAATATATTTAAAAATTTCGAATCTATTTAGTGATTTAACGGTTTTGGTTCTATGTGATATTTGGGGAGTCAAACTGGAACAATATTTCCGTGTCATTTATGAAATTGCCGAATTCTAGGAGTGATTCAATCTCAATTTTAAAAAAATGTTATTTTTTTCTAGTGAAACTAATCAATTTTTTGTTCTTTCCTTGCATATCAGTTCGTGTAACAAGAGTCGACTCTTCTTATGGCTACAACTTTGGTGACCTCGGGACATCCTTGGATATCTTATCAAGAAATAGATCTGGTTGCAATAAACTTCTTGACCTTAAAACAGTTACCGCTCTCCTCTCGGCCCCCCCCCCCCCCCCCCCCCCCCGTCTTTTTTGATTTAACGCACTAAAAAAAAACCACCAGACACAAACACTTTTTATAAATTTTTTTTTTTTTTTTTTTTTTTTTTTTTCCTCTTTT